TGATGTTTTTCAAAGTTGTTTATTTTTCTGATGTCAAGTAAATGTCATCGATGTTTTCTTCTGCTATGATGTATATAGCAAAAAAGTTTTATACCGAAAATTCATAAAAACTTTATGGACCCCCCCCCAATTTTAGAAGCCTCGCGCCAGCCCTGATAAAAGCAGACTTAGCTGTGATGTATATATCATCCGACCGCGAGCAGATAACACGTACTCGATTTAAAATAGTACGTTTCACTATCCAGCACAAATCGATATGTTCCTTTGTACAGTTTATTATACAGACTAGTCCCACAAAAATTAGCTTTTTGGTTTTATGCGAAAGCGGTAGATTGTACTGTGAAACTACTATGAAACCAGGAAATTACCGCTATTTCCATACTCTGAATTCATGGTTATGCCGTGGAATTTCATTGTATCAATTGACAGCTTTGGATATCTAGTCTGGAAAGTAGAAATGTATTTAGTTTCTTGAATGTGACTGCTAGTTTAAGAGATGACTTAGGAGTGTATGGATATCTTGATAGTGTCTGATGCCGTGTAATTAATCGCTTTCTCGCTTACGTCTAATAAAGGCATTACACCTGAAAATACAGTAACTTCGAGTTGACTTCCCACGGTACAAACAGGGACTAATCGATGACTAGCACCGAAAAATATGCAAAAATACACCTCAAATGGTTTGAATGCATTTTCTAACCATCACAACATCTTAAAAGGCACTTTTTATTGATAGTGCAGAGCATGATCAACAAAAACTAGGCTACACTTAAGTAGAAACATTAGGTTAGAACATAAAATTATCCTAACTCATCCACTAAAGAAATTTGAGCAAAAGTCAGAATGAAAGGGTACTTAACTTCGGAGAGAGCAAAAAGTTCTACTGAAAATTCACCACTTTTTTTCCAGTAATGAGAGTAGCTTTTCGTAAGCAAAGCAATGCAACACAGGTTACAATGTTTCGATTTAAAAGATAACACTGGCCGACTGAGACGAACATCGTTTCTTTCTCATCACACTTTCAAATATATTTTCTATATTGAACTTTTCTTTTCTCTTCATTTTTATTCGATAATTTACACTTTTCAATCGTTATTTTCTTTTAGTTTATATTGAATCAGTCGAGCACCTTTTATTATACGAGTGTGAACAAAAAATAGAAATATATTTCTTATTCGCTTCACCAACTCTCTTCCTTTCTTCCATTTTTAATTATATATATTTATTTTCAACTGTTGTTATCAATGGGAAGGGGGTAAAATACATTACAGAGAGTTTGCCTTATTAGGTCAGCCAGTTATATCCAATCCGAAGGTTGACACCATTGGATATAGTACAATTTCATGACATTTTTTAGTAATCAGTACCCTAAATTCTACTTTCTTACTATAATCTACTTCTTCAAACGTGAATAAAATAATTCTCTTCCTCTTTCTATTTCTTTTCTTTTCTATAATAAGGCCTTACTATCAAGGGGCAGTCTAAAGATACGCCCTCATTGTCTACTGGCTGTAGACCGAATTTACTTCTGCAAATCCAGCATGACTACAGGAAGAGGATGACGTCTGAAAAATAAAATTATGTGAGAGCAGAATACAATACACGATATCTCACTCGTTTGCTCAAATTCCGGTTTTTCAAATCCATCGGTAGAAAAATGCACCGCTTACGACTCTTTTTTTCTCTATAAAGGTGGCATTCAGCTGAGACTTCCTAGGTCTAAGAAGATAGAGCAGCTCGAGCACTACGGAACCCTCCTCCTCCCATTATAGAAGATCATTGCCGCCTAAATGTCAGACAAATATAATTAATTTCAAGTTGCTAGATAGAACCTGTCTTATAATAACTGTCTTCTAAATACAAGAATGAGACACAAATGATTTGGGTTTATGCAGACAAGGAATCAGATTTTCCTTCTCGAGCTAGGTAATCCTGTTAGCATTGAGTATAACCTACTCGAGCAACAGCTGATCAGTTCTCGTATTTTTAATAATAATGAAGACCGTAGTAACAAGTATGTTGCGTGATAATGGTTAAAATGTTTCGATTTAAAAGGTAACAATGGCCGTCTGAGACGCACATCGTTTTGTTGCTCACCACACCTCCAAATATATTTTCTATATCAACCTTTTCTTTTCCCTTCATTTTCATTCGATAACTTACACTTTTCAGTCGTTATTTTTTCGTATATAAAGAAAGGTCATAATGTAAGAAGTAGAGGCAGAAAATTTCAGTTTTGAGTCGACAACAAATATTGAGTGAACAAATTGGTATAGTAAGTTCGCCTTGAAAATTTTTCTAGTTGAGTGGAATTATGTAAGTTGAAAATTATCTACTATGTTGATGATTTTTCGAAATGAGTAGTGAGTGCGCCACCGCGCCGGTTCGCTGATTCGCCGCCACCGCTGAAAGCGGAGAAAAATTGTTGTGACTTCAGCCGCCATGCAATTAAACTTTTGCCACCGCCGAGGGGGGAGAAAATTTTCTTCCACAAATTTTTTAGAGGACGCAGGATTCTCTAACTAGTACGTTCTTACCATAGGCATCTAGCGTGCAGCACTTTTCTATCTTTTCGTATACGGCAAATGTACAGATACGGTTAGTGCGCGAAGAACGTGCCAGAATGAAAGAGAACTTTACTTAAATTAGGCGATTCGCCGTCGATAACCAGTTTTTACATGCCGCTGCCGAAAGCGGAGGAAATTTTCGTAACCTCGTGCCGCCACCGCCGCCCATGTTAAAAATTTTATTCGCCGTCGCCGAAAATTTTTTATCGGGCCACATATCTGATAGTGACGATGGTCTTCTTGGAACGTTTTTTGTGAAGCCAATAACGTGGACATACTGGCATGGGAAGATCTCTGGATGTTGCTTGTCTCATAAAGTAGATGAATTAAAGGTTGAAAAAGCAGACGTTGGACTTTCATTGATTTTAACAGACTGTGAAAGATCATAACGGGAGCTTAAGCCTGCCTTTTCGCTCTGGTATGGAACTATATGAGATCGAAAATGTTGATTTCGAGCCTGACACCAGAAACTAAAGGTAAGCGAATGCACATTTTCTAGGATGCCTGGACTTCGAAAAATAAAAAGAAGTTCCAGAAATAGTTCTGATCTTGCCATGTCCTAATGCACTTTAGATAATGTTTATGAGTCTTCTCGCTCTTAAGTATGTTTTGAACAGCGCTGTATGTATTTTATTTGAACTCTACTTAAAGAGGATCATTTCGCTTAACTATAGGGGAAAAGCAAGTGCAGATGGATACGAATAAACTCGAAACATTGCCAGAGTCAGTTCCCGTTTCAGAAGTTAATAAATCACATATGTCTTCTTGAATATTCTACTTACATACAAAACTCATCGATTATCGTTTATTAAGTAGATACATAAACATCAGCGTCAAGAACCTGCTCAACAGACAAAAAGATTTATACTCATAGATTACGCATATGATCCTCAAACTAGTGAGGATATCAGAACTATTGATTACATAAAATTTTATTTTTGTTTTAAAAAGCAGTTTTTCATTTGTACCTAAAAAAAATCGATTTTGAATTCGAGATAGTTCGAGTTATATCTGCCGTACAAACTGGAACATCTTCTAACTTCTAACATCGTCGTTGCATCTATACACGATATTTTATGTTCCTCAACTGAATCACAAATTTTTTGTAAAATAAGACTTGATCTGGATTCCGCCAGTGGCGGCGGACCCATTAGGCTAAGGGAGGCCTAAGCCTCTCCTAGAAAAGGAAGAGGAAGGCTTAGGGAGGCTCAGATATTTTAGAAAATATCATAGATCTCATCTTTAGTTTACATATGGTGAGCAAAAAAGATTTTGAGCCTCCCCTAGACTGAAATCGTCCCGCCGCCACTGGATCCCGCCGCTACCATAGCGACTTCTTAGCGTGCGTTACGAGATCGGCGTTTGCACCGTGAATGAAGTAAGAAAATCGACTTGGGGATTCGTTTTCTTTAAACTTAAATATTGCACAGAGTTGTGACATGTTTGTGGAAAAAGATATAATCATTCTACTAAACACTGTTTTTAAAGTCGCTATTTTCTCGCTCTTCCTGTTAGAAAAAAACGAGATGACACTCCTGTTATGAGTCACATGTTATGGGTCAGCATCGGATCGAGCTGAAATTTTTACCGTGGTTACTCAGATGTCTTTTCTGTAACCGCCCCGGTTTTTTTCATAACTTTGTACAGGGCATCTATACCCTTACATGCTTTCGGTGAACAGACTTGTAATTGCTGAGAAAAGAGATTTTTCCGAATATCATTCGATCCTCTATTTAAAACTATTTATAAAAAGTTCAGAATTAAAGCTGGAACTCTTATTGTTACACAGTTCGACAGCGCACATTAAGTGACATTAAATTAATTTTTTGAAACTTATACAAACATTTTCAAAACAACGGAGCATCTTGCAGAAAGATTTTCGCTGATAAAATTGTTCACGATAATCCTCATCATACCGTAAGCGGAACACTTTTTCATTTTAGGAGGGAAAATTTTGAAATAAATGTAGTTTACGTAAATTTTCGGTAAATTTTTAAAGCACAGGAGTTTTTATTTGTAACTTATTTCAAAATTTTCCCACTAAAATGAAAAAATTGCTCGTCTTACGGCACGAAGAGGATTATCCTGAACAACTTTGTTAGCGAAACTTTCTCTTCAAATGCTTCGTCTGTTTGAAAATGCTTGCATAAGTTCGTGTACTAGACGATGAAAAAATCGAAAGAAAATCCAGTGCTGCGCTCAAATCACGAAAGATTAAGAGGTGGTTTAATTCCCATTTTGTAGAAGACATTTTAGCTATTGTATCTATATGAGAAACACAGGAGTCCCTCTGGTAGATTTTGGAACCGTTTTTACATAGATAATAACTATGAATAATTGTGCATCAAAACATACTTCAACCAAATTTTCGTTATTATTCCTGAATGACTTATGAAAAAATCGAAAATTAGCCGCTAGTCCGGAAAGTTTGATCAAAGTCCAACCTTGAAAGATTCATAATTTCCCCACTATTCATCCGCCGAAATGGTAATCCCCCCCTCTTAAATACTAGGTATCCATAATAGTCCTGCTCCTACTTGTCCTCTCGCGCTACACTTTGTTTATTACACATTCCGTCAGATATATGAAAAATAAGATGTCATTTTCTGAGATATTTGCTTGAGTTGAGAACTTTCTCTTGATTACGCTTTGGAAGGTATATTACTCAAGATAAAGAATTGAGTTAGTAAACAACTTCATTATAAGCTAAAATATTTCTGATTAAGTTATAGATCTCTTTGCTGTACTTATTCGACATGATCGGAACACTAAGTGAGACAATAAAATCCATCATGGTAAAGTAAGTTTAAAAATATGAAAGGACAAAATTGTTTATGCGTAAAGCATTTGTTAATTTGTTTAAGACTTTGGGCATCGAAACCGATCAAAATATTTTTATCGCTTCTATTATCAGTTTTAATAGTTAGTAGTTTACTTGGCGGTTACATGTGGTTAATATCAGTTAAACTACAATTAAATAATAATATAGCATCATCCGGTATGTATCTATTTTTAATTCGTCTACGTTTGTTCTATTGACTCACGAACTTTTATTTCGGAATGACTTATTCATTCAGTCATGGAAAAAGATCTCTTGAACCATTGTTAAAGCTTACATCTAAATTCCGTATAATAAAACAGATGCGAGACACCACCGTTTAAAAAATAAAGTGTGTAAATGATACACATAATGTGAACGACAAGTCGATTCCCAGCAATCATCTAGAATAAACGGCGTAAGTGTGTAAAGTACACACTGCGAAGTGATCGTCTGACTCTACACACTGAAATCAATGATATAGTCTACTTGTCTCAACTATGGGCGCTGGGAATGTCTCAGATTCAACAATCGATTATTCAAATCTACCGTATGGCGATGTTTCTTTTTCACTTTTTTTCTTATGCGTTTTTTATGAAAACGATAGCATTTATACTTCCGAAGCTTGTGATCGTAATTCTAGAATTATTTTTTCATTTGATGCAACAGTTCGGGAGAAACATGGACAATAAATATTTTTAACACATTTAGCTTTACACATTGAGATTGACCATTTAGAGAAGGTATGCACTTTTTGATGTCGAGTGAACGTTTAGAAGATTTACACGCCCAGTAACACGCTTTATTTGTTACAGTGCGCAACTATGACCTCAGGTAACTATGCCTTCCACTAGAAGACACATGAGACTCATGTAAATAGAAAGTTTCATTAGTGAGTGAAAGCCTCATGTGCGATATTCCTGAATTGTTAAGTACTGTTTCATTGTGTGCTCCGCCTTGAATACTATATTCCTTCAACGTTTTTTGTCTTTTCACGAAGCCATTAGGAGTTTTAAGTCGTACTGGTAGGAGACTAACGGATGATAGAAAAATTTCTGCAAAAATGTTGAAGCTCTTCTCTCTATTTTTAAAGTTTCTTCAAAAGATCATCAGGAGTGTTTCGTAATCTACAAAGATCGGGCTTTCCAGCCGTATGTTTTAAAATTATTGATGTGGGACAGATTGAAAACGATTAGATTCGGCATTTGCCAAAATTCCACAAATTTCTGGCCTATTTGCCAAATGCTAAAATATGACAAATTTTGCCAAGTTGTATAGCAAGTTTTTGCTGTCAATTTGCCAAATATCCCTCTGTTCGTAGCTGTGTCAATGTTTTCCATTTCCATTAAATAAAATTCTGCTATAGAAGTCGACTAGCGGAAAAAGAAGCTTCAGTCCAGTGTTTACTCTATGGTTTTTTAAATTTTTAAAGTTTAAAAGGTTGGTTTTTTGACGAAATTTGGCAGATTCTGGCAAAATTTTACAAGTTTTTGGCAAATTTCACAAATCCTTAGAAATTAGAAACTAGAATAATCATGTACATAATTCTTGATGTTCTTTCATTTTTGAGTAATAAAAGTTTGTCTGCTAATGCTTTTTTCAAATGATGGACATATTACTTTTACATCTCAATAGCCCTGAGTATGAGGCTTTTTCGTTTTTCTGGGATAGTTTAATAAATCTATATTTCGTGCCACTATCTAGCTTTGTCATGCTTGTATAAATGAATAGTATCCCGAATGGACTTAACTCCATCTAATCCGTTTGAACTTTGGTCGGCCACTATACAGTTACATTCTTATTTTTCTAGTACGAATACCATCAACAGACATTAAAATATGTCCTAAAGCTAAGTGGAATCAAACTGGAATAACAATAAAGAGTGTCGATAGAAATAAACTTCTTTCATTATTTAATTTTGCTTTTGATAGTCAATCAAATATTTATATCGTCAATTTGGCTGATAGTCGTATTGAAAAATATTTAAATGATACTAATTTTGAACAATATGAAATTCTAATACAATTTCAAAAAATGTATCAACCAACAACGTTATTTATTGATAAATATGATAATTTATACATTGATTATAGTGTCCACAATCGATTATATAAAATCTCATTAAAAAATAAATATAATAGAATAATTTATGATAATCCAGAATGGTGTACCGATATGTATGTTGATGCGAATGAAAATATTTATATCACAGAAAATAACAACAGTCGTATTATGAAATGGTCTTCGGATGGAAAACAAAAATATGTTATTGCCGGTGGAAACGGTAATGGTAATCAATCGAATCAATTAGATTCACCAAGCGGTATTTATGTTAGTGATCAAACCAATCATATTTATATAGCTGATGTTACTAACCATCGTATTCAACGTTGGACATTGGGTAATGTATCATTGGGTGGTGTTACCGTTGCCGGTGGAAATGGTAACGGTAATGGTACACATCAATTGAACTTTCCAAATTCAGTGATTGTCGATAATGAAGAAAGTGTTTATATCGTTGATGAATCTAATCATCGTATTGTTAAATGGGCAAAGGGTGCAAAAAATGGTGAAATTATTATTGGCGGCGATGATAAAGATGATTATGTTTTCGAGGATGAGGATGCGGATATTTTTAGTAGTGAAGGTGGCCAAAAATTAAATAAATTGACTTATCCTACACAAATGAAATTTGATAAAGATGGTAACTTATATGTACTTGATTGGACAGATAATCGATTACAAAAGTTCGAGATTGATACAACTGATTGTCAGTTGTAAGTATTTTGTTGTCTGTTGAAAAAGATTAACTGTGATCAGATTTATTTGATCATTTTCCTTTTTCAGATCATAGAAGGGACGACACAACGGCGCGTACATTTGTCTTCATATAAAACTATTATATTTCAATGTTGTACAAACAATTAGACTTTTTTTTTATCATTAGCATAGACGTAGCTTGAAAAGAAAAGAACTCTTATTTCTGTATATAAAATAATGTAGAATAGAAAAACTTGTTATTTTGTTTTTCGTATTATCAAAACATGTCCGAATTTTTGTTTGTCAGTTTTGCCGTAATTGTCAGTAACTAAACGATTTTTTTCTGATGTTAAAAAGATTGATCCAATGTACAAAGAATTCTAAAGTGACTTTCATTTCCTTAGTTTAGTTAGTTTTTCATGTTAGTAGTCGATGATGGATGATCTTTTTACTAATAATAAATAGCAAATAATATATCGTAAACATACGTGAAAGAAAGAGTTCCCTTTATTTGAGTAAAACGCGAGAGAAAACGTACAATAAACGTATGTTGATTAAAACGTGCATATTGGTGCATGTCAGATTAGCGATACTAAACACAATACAATGAAAACTGAATCAATGATGTATATGATTTGAAAATTTCATTTGACAAAAGTAAGAGACGCCCTTCACATCAATCTAGTCCAGACTAGTCCGAGTCTATGAGAAATAGTTTTTTAGTTCATAAACTCTAAAAACGTAGTCCAGTCCAGTCCACAATATAAAACCAACATGTTTTTGACTAATTATTCCTCGATTCAAGCGAATACAAAACTTTTTTTCGAGTCCAGACTAGTCCACTATCTTGAAACTTTGAGTCCAGTGCAGTTCGAGTCTGTGAGATCAAAAAATGTTCAGTCCAACCCATACGGAGCTCTACTACACATATTGATGAAAGTAACTAGTAATTATTATAACTGTTATGAGAATTTTTACATGAGAATGATAGGAACTAAAGCAAAAGACTTTTTTTCAACTTTCACATGCTTCCAAGAGATTTTGATGTAATCTTCTTTCGTTTATTTGGCCAAAATCGGGCGAGGTTTTTCTCCATCCAAGAGCAATTTGTAAAAGTTGATAAATTAGTAACACCAGTTGATTTGGAATTATTACTTAGGGCATACCAAAAGTAGTGGCAGTGGTATTTTTATCCCTTATAGAAAGGTTAAAGAAACTTTCTTTTTATATAGTCTGATAGAGAAAAGAATGTTCTATTTTTCTATGCTATTTGATCA